ATCTGCTTCTGTGGACCTAATGCAAAAACCTCAAAACAAGATATGACTTAGCCGGCCTAAGCCTAGAAAATGACCAAAAGCTTGTTTGACATTGCGTGCAAAATAATTCCGTGTGTTTTGGGCATCGCCACTTTCCGGCAACAAAACCACATACCCATGACAAGCAGCATTTTACCGCCACTGGTTGTCATGTTTAGGGACGCCATTGAAACCAAGCTGCTCACACCCACACCTCTCGTCAAACCATTTTCTACACAAGGTATGTTGTCAACATTTTCGGGATTTGAACTCACGGCGCAATGTCACCCAAACCCGAACGCATAAACGGTTTTTACGTGGCTTCGAAATTCTGCATGGAAAGACGTGATCGCTCACCTCATAGGCAGACGTTTTTCCTCGACACACCGGCCACTGCTCATGATAGCGGTACGGTTAAAACAGAATGGTACAAAGGGCGTATGACTGCGCCCGCTACCCCTCAACATACCACAGACAGCCTCCCATCAAAACCAAAGTCCATTACATTTTTACAGATGCTTGTGACGGAGTGCTTGCTTTGAACTGGTGCAGTGGTTCAATCCGAAAAATGCTCAAAACTGGAAAGCTATGAATATTTAACGGGGGCCCGCCAAACATAATTCACAAAGCTAGAGAGCATGGCATGGTGCATTCCGAAAAACACGTTCAGTTGTAACATGTTCCAGACGTAGCTTTCTCACGCAGCGTACTTACATCAGCCTCCTGTTTTTTGACGATAGGAAGACAACAACAACAAGGCAAAGAAACACTTTCTAGCCAGGTAAAAACAGCATTCAGACGACCGAGGTTTCCCCTGCGGGAAGAATGGATCAGATCTCACTCAGCACCCTACTGTTTCTGCTTTGGCCCCATCTCCACGTCCTTTGGGGAATACGCAGTTTCATTGTTGTGCGCAGCACATGGCACAGCTGAAACGCCTTTTATATGATAACCTGCCAGCTATGCGAGGCATAAGGTCCACCTCTCATGCAACAAAATTAAGTTCCCGCATAATCTGCGAGGCCAAAAGGATGGTGAGGCATCACAAACAGACCAAACGTGAACATCATGATATCCTCTCGAACACCAATTGAGAAATCTCCATGCACTACCACGTAATGCGCGCAACGCTATGCCACCACCGGGTTTCACTGTTTCACGGTAAATGAGTCATGTTGCGTGCGTGTTGTGTGAATGAATTTGTTTTATCAATTTTGCACTTGCACAGGATGTCAGAATGTTGTGAGGAGGAAGAGAGAGAGAGAGAGAGAGAGAGAGAGAGAGAGAGAGAGAGAGAGAGAGAGAGAGAGAGAGAGAGAGAGAGAGAGAGAGAGAGAGAGAGAGAGAGAGAGAGAGAGAGAGAGAGAGAGAGAGAGAGAGAGAGAGAGAGAGAGAGAGAGAGAGAGAGAGAGAGAGAGAGAGAGAGAGAGAGAGAGAGAGAGAGAGAGAGAGAGAGAGAGAGAGAGAGAGAGAGAGAGAGAGAGAGAGAGAGAGAGAGAGAGAGAGAGAAAGAAAGAGAGAGTGAGAGAGAGAAAACGGATTGATGGCGTGATTGACATATGGCCGATGGTGCGCAATATCTGTCAATTCCGTGTTATGCATATGCGATGCTGGGATAGCGTTTTTTAAATATGCTAAGGCCTGCGAGATCCAAAGTTAATCGATTTAATGACCGCGCGATTTTTTCTTCAAAAACGATGTTTGTGTTTGCTATTTAGTCCTGAAGAAGTAGCACAATAAAAGGTAATTTTACTCTTTTTCCATGCCATGAGCATGGGCTATGTCATCCACTGCACGAAGCCATATAACTTGGGGAAGTTTTGTCTTCAAAACCCAATGATTTCACAGTTCCTATCGAAGCGTGGCCTCCTGGCCAAGTGTTACGACCATATATATATTTTGATATTTAGGCGACGGGGGGGGGGGGAGATCTAGCCAAACTTTGAGAAGGAAGCGGTCACATGCGGGGAAGTCCATTTTTAGGAGCATTTCGGATGTAAGTTCAGCCATAGTTCCTCGTTCAGCCCCTCCCCCAACTTATTTTACTACGCACACCCCTGGTTATAACGCCTGAGTATGAGAGCAAAAGGATCCACCTCTTTCGACAAGGATTCTGATAACAAATTGGTTCATTCACGATCTGGTGCACCCGCGAAGACCACGATATTTTGAGAATACGACTGGACGCAGGCATGCAATAAACACGTTTGATTTTTTCAGATTTGTATGCCATAAATGGATGTTAAGTGCAAAACAGAAACTTGCGGCCTAAAAAGCGCTAACCGGGATAACGCATGGTGGCCAACATACCTACCCCGGGACCGATGGTGGACGGGAGGATCCGGCCAGTAGATCGATTCCAGTCTCCTCCACAATGCAAGCAGAAGTTGAGTAGGAAGAAACGCTCGAGGCTTAACTAGCGAAAATAAAATAATTTGCCCAGGAGCGAAGGGAAGACTCAAAGTATCGTTCAGGACGCGACCAAATAGACAGGGGGGTCAGAGCTTAAAATGTAATGGGCTGGTGAGGGACGGTTGGGAGCGGGTGGGTCGGCGGAAAAGGGATGTTGTGTCTGGCATGTACGTTATCACGATTGACATCAGAGTTGACGTACGCATCCGACACATCTCAGTCGTGCATTTCTTTGGCATCACATTAATAGTACACAACCGCGATAATAGGGAACGATAACCAATGTTTGCGCACTTGAATAGAACTCAGAAGCAGAGAAGGCCGATTGAAGCATTGGAGCTATATGTCACAAACATCGCTTTAACTGGTAAGTTGTATGCTTCGTGATGCAATTGTGTGTTTGCCAATTTCTGGCCGTGTAGGAACACTGCTGCTTACATTTTCCCTTGGGAAGACAAAGCCGTATAAAGAGGACAAAAACGTATAAGGATAAATCAAACTTTCTTCATTTAGTAATTTTACATCTATTTGTTTCTGACATATTTCTATCGTGATTAAATCACTTAATAACGTGAAACATCCATTGATCGCTGTCCAAAATAGTGTATTGGTGGTAATATTAGAAACATGCATGAATTTGACCTAACGTTTGCTAATGAGCTGTAGTGAATCATCCATAAGTGAACACAGTGGATCATGTCATACTGTAGTAGCTAACATTTATATGTGAATGGTCTCAATGAGTCCTCAAAATGCAGCTCAATGCTCTTACTCAAACCATCCTCTGCTGTAGCAATGAGACTGCTGTCGGAAGTCTACGACATGGGAAATCATTGCAGATATCAAAATGACTGACAAGTTGCACTTGGAAGCCACCGATGAAGAATGTGAAGGAAACTGGCCCAATAACATACAGCTACAGGTGGGAAGCTTGCGTTGCCTTCTCACCTTCTTCAACTGAGACGCCATATTACCTTAGTTCCATAGCAAATTGGAACAGAAAACCTGGGTGGCAAGAATTCGCCCATTAACACATACCAAGGAAACAAACACTATGTACAGTCGAGCTGAACACATAAAAAGGTCCTGATGGGAAGTAAATCTCCAGCTTACCTTTCATTGATCTAACATTATTTAAAGCACCAACCTGCGATCAACGTAAAATTTTGACGTAACAGTCACGCCATGTTTTGTGGCGTCAAAGCAAAATTGTCTTTTCAGGAAACAACTTTGGAAATTGTGGCAGGCAGAGACGTACACAAAATTTCGTGACAGAGAGAGAGAGAGAGAGAGAGAGAGAGAGAGAGAGAGAGAGAGAGAGAGAGAGAGAGAGAGAGAGAGAGAGAGAGAGGCGGGGGGGGGGGCACAGCTCAAGTTTTTTCACTGGAGATGCTTAGCACGCTAAAGGTGCACAAAGTGCGCTGTTGTTTGGCATAAATCAACTTAAAACGCTCGATCGATCTCGATCTTTATGTTTTTACGTTGCTTTCCTGAGTCTGTCGGTGTCAACTTTATTTGGCACAAAACTGACGTATAATTATAATTGACGTATATAATTATTGACCTATCAACATAACATCTATTACCAATCGTGCTGTCTCGTTGAAACCAGTCCACTAATGCCTTCCCACACCGTCAGTTCGGAAAACTGTCATGCTGAACCGCAGCCCATGGGAAGGTGAAGTAACTGTCCTGTATCGTATGACAAGAGTAATGGAGTCGCACGTGCCAACATGTGCCCTAGCAGTCGATGCGCCCTCAAACCCCAAATCATCATCATGGTCATCATCAACATGTGCCTTATTGTTAATCATAGAAATTTTGATGACCAGTCCTAGCATTGACACCTTTTAAGCTTGTTTTAAAATGTTGTCTGTTAAATTGCCTACAAAATGAGTGAAACGTGTTGTTTCTGACAAGCCTGACCAATCGAACCCCACCGATGGCAGTACAGCTGCTACCCTTATTCTAACAAACATTTGGGAGAAATCACACAAACGAAACCGGTTGATGAAACTCCAGTAATTCTGTGTGGTCACTTTGGAGTCACGCTAACGACATAATCCGGCGCTTATGGGCGGGGAATACTCGTCCATCGCTGAATTCTTGGCGCCCTCAGTTAAGGTTAGGTCAAAACAGCATTAAGGTATTTGGTTCCACGGCATCTCTATATGTTCAATCATCAGTGCTTTCAGATCCGGCTTGTCTAGGTTATCAGTCATTTCAGGAGTTTGTATGCATATCGATCAGTAAAGCACTATGTATGGTAGAAATATGTTGCAGAACAAACACATTTTGGAACTCAAGTTGTTTGTTAGCTAAACGTGTGCACAAAGTCAGAATATTTATACCGCTTTAGCCCTTCACTAGAAAATTTTCATAACTAAAAATGTGTTAAGAAAATGAGTTGAAATCCTAAATAAAATTGCAATGTGTAAAAACCGTCACTGCACCGTCAAAGTCAAACGTGGACAAGTGCGCAGCACTGCTTTGTCGTATCACAAGGGCAACAGCATGCGGTGCGTTCCCGTGATCCACCACGTGACACCCACGTGACTGGCAGAGCTACGATCCTCGGCGCGCCCGGCATCGCCCTCTCCACGCGTGCCCGCTGTGACCGGCGCGATGTCCGTCGACGGCAGGTACTGGAGACCCCGGACCGCGGCGGCAGCGGCGGCGTGGCCGACATGGACGTGACACCAGAGGCCACCGGGGCTGGGGCCGCTGCTCCGACCGGCCCCCAGCTGCAGGACGGCACCTCAGAGCAGACGGCGAGACAGCCGGCGCAGACCGACCCCCAGCTGCAGGACGGCACCTCAGAGCGGACGGCGAAGCAGCCGGCGCAGTCGGACCCCCTGTTCACCTGGGCCGGCGAGGACGAGGTGGCAGCGATCATGTGGCTAGACGACGAGCAGGCCGCGGCTGTCACCTGGCTGGGCGGCGAGGTGACGGCAGTCGCGTTGATCGGCGGCGAGGAGGGCGCCGAAAAGGCGGCGCAACCGGCGGCAGCCGCCACCGAGGCCTGGCCGAGCGGCGACGGCGGCGGCGACAAGGCCAACGGCGGCAGTAGCACCAGCGGCAGCGAGTGGACCGAGTTTTGTCGCATCTGTCACGACGGCCCCGAGAGGGCGCCCCTGGTCTCCGCTTGCCGCTGCACTGGATCCATGCAGCACGTGCATAACGTGAGTGCAGCCACTCTGCTGTGCTCGCCTCGACGGCAGCCAGGGCGGCGATGCCCAAAAGCCAGCTCCTCGACGGAGTGGGACGATCTGCTGCGTTTTGTTTTAAAAAGGAAAAAAATGCGAGAAGCGAGGCGCAAGTTTAGTCGTCTCAGCAGAATTTGACAATAAAAACACACTGAAATCAGTGGCTTACGAAAACGGGAAACACTACCTGCCCCGCGTGAAATAGCGTCATTTTCGATCAAACTGTAGTAAATGACCGATTGTAACGCAGAAGTCGGCCGTTCGGCAACAGACAGCTTCATACGCCTTTATTAAACGATAAGCAACCGACAAAGCTGTCGAAATGAACACTTGCTTCACTTCCTCATGCCAGTGATCATTGCACTCACACTTTTCAGGACTGTCTGATTCGCTGGATTCTCAGCTCCTTCAACACCCACTGTGAAATCTGCCTGCATCGGTATAGGATTGGAACAACAGGTAAGCCCCAGCATAACAGCAATTTGCACAAAGCCCTACAGTGCACGCCGTTTTGTGACATTGCTGTCACATCAATGCTCGCCAGGTTGGGTGCATTCCATCAGTCGGCATGGTGTCAAAAGACTGTGCTGACACAGCCCGCTTCATACTGCCATCACGCATCTCCACGTCTCCGCGTATGTCGTGCACACGCCCGCACGTTTATGCAATGTGCGACGCGCTGTGCGCGTCGTATTCATCGCCGTCCGCAAATAATGACAGCGATAAAAGCAAAATTAGATGACAAGGGAAAACCGAGGTCGTTGCCGTAAGAGTGACATGTTTCATAAAATTTTATTTAACACGCATGTCGAAGGATCGGGACAAAAACGGTAACGTGGAAAAACGTGAAACATGTTTCACGACATTTCGTCGCCAGCGCTGCCCTCTGGTCTCTGATCAGCGCTGTGGCCTGTAACCTGGCGACTTCCCGCAGGCATGAGGTTGCCACACCACTGGAAGCTGCCCCAGACGGACGGCGTCGAGCGCTACCACATGATGCTCTGCCTGGTGGCACTGGTGGTGCTCTCGGCCGTCATCTCCTTCCTTATCTACGTCAGCACCGACGAGGGACGCGAGGCGCGCACCTACCGCGACAGTCCGCTGGGTTAGCGGGACGCGCCGGCACTGCAAACGTCCTGTAGTCCCTCCTCGCGTATCTTGATACTGGGCGGAAAATCGAGCAAGCGGTTTGAGAGACTCGGCCCGATTATACAAACATCACCATGCATGGAATTCAGAGAGCTCTTGGCATGCCCGCCTCTCTCCTGCAGGCTAAAACTGTTCTTCCCTCGACGACCACGAGTGGCTGCAAGTCACAACTGCCTTTTCTAAACGTCATGGATTCCCCCAGTTTATGCCACGCGTTTATGCCTGGCATTTCCTTTAGCAGCTCGCACTCACAATTCCAGCTGCCTGAGCAGACACTCACAGCTCTCACATGGTGTTCCTCAGATGAAGCCTCTCCCATACCTGCCAAAAAGCTCTCTGGTTCCATCCCGTCTCCCTTATATCCAAGGACGTCAGTGATGTATCTATTACCCCAGCTAATTAGGAGCCCCGTTTACCATTAGGCGCACGTTGGCAGGATAATCATTAGCATACTATGGCAAGTGTCCGAAGCACACAACATTCAGGTATAATCGCGGCCCATAGCCTTGCCAGTTATGCTTATAAAGAACAAGACAAGGCAAATTTGGCCTCTGCCTACTCTTTTGGGTGCGCTAAAACTAACACAATATTGCCATATGTAACACTTCAGGGCTTTAACGGCTTCACGTCCAAGCAGTTCCAGAATTCTCACCGATCTGCAAGTGTCGAGCTGCCCTCTGCCCTGATCGTGACAGATCCTGTGCGGCCTGGCCCCTGACCGTGGCTCGCCCCCCTTCCCCGCCCCGGCAGCGCCAGCGCTGTACACCGTGTATGCCGTGCTGGGCCTGGTCTGTCTGGGCCTGGCCTCGGCTGAGCTGCACTACACCATCTGCCCGCTGCTGGAGCGCTTCAGGCTGACCAACATGAACCTGTTGGTCGTGCCGTTCGACCCCGACGACGAAGACGACGACACGCTGGACGCCTTCAGCGCCGACTACGTCACGGTGTGACGTCACTGGTGTTGAAGCCGCGACGCGTCACTGACTGCTGGTGTTAGAAGCGGAGTCGGAACTAGTGTGGCGGCAGGGAGGAGCAAGGCTTTGGGTGGAGGGAGCAGTGCCGAGGCAATGCAAGACGGAAGACGGCCATGCCCAAAACGACAACGCACGCCTCGGAAACAGAGGGGGCATCCTCGGAGGGTGCCCGGCCCTGCTAAAACCCTCAGATTCTGAGTCAGCGCTGGCAAAACATAACGACAACGCACGCCTCGGAAACAGAGGAGCATCCTCGGAGGGTGCCCGGCCCTGCTAAAACCCTCAGATTCTGAGTCAGCGCTAGCAAAACATAACGACAACGCACGCCTCGGAAACAGAGGGGGCATCCTCGGAGGGTGCCCGGCCCTGCTAAAACCCTCAGATTCTGAGTCAGCGCTAGCAAAACATAACGACAACGCACGCCTCGGAAACAGAGGGGGCATCCTCGGAGGGTGCCCGGCCCTGCTAAAACCCTCAGATTCTGAGTCAGCGCTGGCAAAACATAACGCTTTCGCAAGGCACGACAGCATCAGGACGCGAGTGAGAGATATTCCACACATCTTCCTGTGGAGCCAGCAGAGTACGACCGCATTGCACCCGTTCACACCAAAGCTGGGAGCCCGCCCTGAAGCCAGCCGTCACTTCATGTACGCCGGCCGCTGCTGCCGCCTGGCGGAAGAGACCATGCGCCGAGCCGCGCTCGGGCCGCTGGCATAGGGGGCAGCATAGTCGGCCCCGCGGACAGCGACTCGAAGCATTGCATTCTCCGCCAACCGACGGCGGGCGCCGAGACGATAGCTCCTCATCGGCACCGTCAACAGCCGAAGGCGGTAGACGTGGCCCCGGCCCACTAAACGGCACTAGACGTCACGAAAACCTCCCAGCGTCACGGGGACACCTCCAGCGTCACGAGAACCTCACAGCGTCACGAAAACCTCCCAGCGTCACGGGGACACCTCCAGCGTCACGAGAACCTCACAGCGTCACGAAAACCTCCCAGCGTCACGGGGACACCTCCAGCGTCACGAGAACCTCACAGCGTCACGAAAACCTCCCAGCGTCACGGGGACACCTCCAGCGTCACTGAGAACCTCACAGCGTTACGGGGACATCTCCAGCGTCACGAGAACCTCATAGCGTCACGGGGACAGCTCCAGCGTCACGCAGAACCTCCCAGCGTCACGGGGACACCTCCAGCGTCGCAAGAACCTCCCAGCGTCACGGGACATCTCCAGCGTCACGAGAACCTCCCAGCGTCACGGGGACATCTCCAGCGTCACGCAGAACCTCACAGCGTCATGGATATCCCCTCAGTGTCATAAGGACATCCTCAGCGTCACCAGGTGGCTGCAGGCAGGCCTGTGGCCTGTGATACGGGTGAAGAGCATCGGCACATACCAGTCTCAGTGCAAACGACCGATAATGCCGCTGGTCGACGCAGCAGATCAAGCGATTTGCAACGAATGGTTAAGTTCGAGTTGAGACTCAACGCGGGTATAAATAAATGGGTGACGAAGAAGACATGTACTCGTTTTCGAAGTGGCACTATACGATTGTTTCCACTTGAACAACGCACAAATATCTTGAGTGACAAATCAGTGTTATCCGACCGTTCAAAAATGTCGCTGAGCCAAAGTTAGAATTTTTGGGATATGACGCGCACTTCGTTTCTTAAAATGTGGCGCTTCCACAGCTTCACTACATAAATGCACAGTGATGATAGCAAACTCTATCATTTAAATGTTGCGATTACAAAATAAAACTATACTGTGCAGGTAAAACTGCGCATGAAGCGCTTTTGTGAACACATTCATTACGGACATCCATTGCTGATGGAAAGAGTGCATTACATAAGCGAGCATCATTATATGCACAAAATCACACCACACCGAGATGTCAAGGCATGCAGCTTATACCTCAAATAGCATGGATCCATAGACAATACAGCATTCGAAGGTTAAAAATTTCCATCTGAATATCGGAGCAATTGATGGTTAGCAATCGATGGCAACAACTGACGAGATAACTCAATCATAGCTCACAAATTTAATGTACGCAATGATATGACTCACAATCATCGGATCTGAGAAGTGTAGGACAAACTGGTTCAGTAGAAAGCTAACATCACTTTATGCAAAATGAAGACGTCGCATAAAGCTATAGGGCATATTCCTAATAACAGCGGCACAAAAAGGTATAAGAACGTAGGGCATATGTAATTCATACTCTTGAAATTAACCGACACCGACAAGCTAGTTGAATACACGGATAACTTACCGCAATAATTCGCATTGCACTTTTTGAAAAAATCAACCACGGTGGACAACAATATACGTTTAAACAAAACCGAAAAGCTTAGTTTGGTTGCTAAAATTAAGTGTCAAGCAATGTGGCTAGCTTTTCAAAATAACTTAAATAATGAAGTTAAAACGAAAAATGTTGAAAATTAGGCATTGATCAAGTGCTAAATCTGGGAAGAAGCATTTCGCCTGCATCGCATAGCTGTCTCCTTTGCCGAAGGATACATCACTTGAAAGTTCAATGTTGACATGCCCAAAAAATGTGACCTTGTTGCCTCTTCAATCAAAATACCGCTTCTGTTAAAGACCGGTAATTTTAAGGGCTTAATATTTTTCCGTGAATATCATAAAATTGAGTTAGTTAGGGTTCAACTTCATATATTTATTATTAATATCTTCACACGCTTCCACAAGGCTCAGAGATCGCAAGCATCCCCGGCAGCGGAGGGATGCACATGAATGATGATGCCATGGTCACCCCGGAGGCGCCTCTGCCACGGGCCAGGCGAAAACCCGCAGGACTCGTCAGAACGACGAGCAACGACTGCCACTGGCGCTTTCGGTTTGCCCTGCTGACGTGCGACTTGGAACCAGGACATCGATTAGCCTGCGCAGACACGAGGGCAATGCAATTTTTCGGTTAAAACCTGGATCTGCATCGTAAGAGGCATTTACGGACTGGATATGATCCCAGGTGTATAGGTGAGTAATGGACTGGCTTCGGCACACATTTTTAGGAGATTATGGACATTGTTTTGTGGACGCGTAGGGAGAGGAACATTTTGACGTGTTCGTTACCTGCCAGTTTTTTCCAACACGAATTTCTAACGATCACATATACACAGGTCCATGTTGTCGTAAATCTAATTATGACAGTGCCAAGGACAATACGCAACGGGACATTAACTCATTTTGAGATGAAACAGCTAACAACGAAACAGCTGTCGGGACAGTCTTTCACAGCAAGCCTCTGTGTCCCTGGCAACCAGATCCGATTCAATTTTCGTATCGCACGTCTTTAAATTGAGACATATTGCCTCACTTCGTTGTACCTCTGCATGAGCTTTGTGAATCCTACGATAGATGGATCATGTTGTATATCATGGCATTGTCGCACAAATCGTATACCCAACAACAAGAACAGGCGAATTAAGGCTGCTGGTAGCGTTTCCACCGCGTTTGGGTCAACACAGGCGTTATTGAGTATTGCCATGTTCTCGCGTGAAGGCCGCATACAGATGCCATTTGGAGCTGTTTGCAAAATAACGTTGACCGTGGGCAATGCTGAAAACGTGCAAGATGTTTTTTTTTTCTTAGCAGATCGTAGTGGTCTTCTACTCTGCCCACCGAACGACGCAACATTTGGCGCCTATGAACAATGCCTGTCCCTTCAATATTAAACCATGCAGTCATCCAGAAAATTTCGGGCAGTACGCGAAAGAGTGGCAGTTTTGTTTCCATTGACATGCATTTTTCCCACCCGATTAAAGTATAGGATCGTAATATGTCGGCGTCCAGCAAAGCTTTATCTTTGCTGCACGCTGGTTAAGAATACCGAAGTACAATAGCAATACTACATCTATAGCTGCTTTTCAATTTGCGTTTACCTTTCTACCCCGTCGTGTTCGTTTTTGTATACACCGTGCAAGAGAACGTAGCGTTTACTCACCTGGACTCGTCCAAAAACCGACCGGCACCTGCGAGCGTCGGGTCCCTGCCGCCTCCCCAGCAGCCGACCTTTCACCTCCAGCGAATCGGGAGACCCGCGGTCACGTGACGCCCCTCGGCACCATTCACACCACACCCCTACCTGATTGTAAGCAATTATGCCACTCTACCAATCTACACACACTCGTAATCGTCAATGAAATCGGTGGGGACACTGAAGCCGTACAACTCGACTGGTTGCCGGCGAGCGCGACCGCTCCTCCGCGGTTCCCGCGACTCTCGCTCTCCCTGTGAAGGATCCGGCCGAGCCGGTGGTAGCACCGCACCGTTGCTGGACACGAACAAGTCATCTTTGCGCACACCGCACTCATCCAATTCATGCTCACCACAGCACAATGACTGATAATTCGTACTGGCACTTGACACTTTATCGCGATGGCTCCGCTAAAGCGATGGGCGCTCAGCAGGGTCCGCGACCAACGGGCTTGATGGCACGGCAGGCAGATCTGAACCGCACCCCGTGAGCTCATGATTCGACACAATGTTCGTTATCGGCAGCGTGCCTGTGTCGTCCCCAAGCTGCTCACCCGCGCCGGGCATTCGGCTCCCGTCTGAGCCTTTCTGCGGGTTCCGGCGCCGCAGGCACCGCACGTGCCAGGGCGTGCCGTCAACCTCAACCACCTGGTCCGATACGGCCCGCGTAACTACGCCCTGGCGCGATGCATCAGTGCACCGCGTGGCGGGCCCCCGGCGCCGCATCCACACCGCAACGCCGACGCAAAACGACGGTGAAACGGGTTCCTGCATCAGTGGCGGTGCATGCTCGGCAGCGCGCTGGCTGGTCGGCAGGTCGGCACCGGCTGCGTGGAATACCTGCGCCATCGGCGCGCTCAGCGAGTTAGCACTGTCCCGCGGAGTCGCACAGTACCGATGCACCGCTTCACTGACGGAGCGCCGTTGGCGGGCTACCATCATCTTTATAGTTGGTGGTGGCGCTCCACGATTCCGTTGCCGCCGGCCTCGTGCGCCGCGCGAAACCGCAGCCGAACCCTCCACTTCGCGGCGAATGCAGCTATTCGCCGGTCCCGGAACTCGGTGAGATTGTCCAGCAGAAGTTCAGCTGGCGCGCTGCGTTCTAGGAACACTCGATGCAAATGATCCGTCACTTCTGCCGCATCAGACCGTCGCAACGCGCTCCAAATGCTGTACCGGGACGGACCGCAGTCTACGATCGTGAGGTAGAGGCGGCCTTGGCAATGGGTTACGTCGATCGCGAGTCGCGTCCATGTTGTCGGGACGCCGAGTGAGCCGGACCGCTAGCGGGTCGGCGCCGGGTCAACCGAACGGCACACATCGCACTGGCTGACGACGGCTCGCACGTCCGCCAGTGCGACGTATCCGCCGAGGTCCCGTCTGGCGTAGCACAGGGACCGGCGTATCCCCTGGTGCCCCGTCCGTTCGTGTATGCCTTTAATCCGGGCACGAACGTCGCTTGCTGTGGGTTCGTGAGCGGCTTCTTGGTCTGCCGGGTGCGCCGCGACTTCTTCCGGCCCGATAGTCGCGGAGACCGAAGTCGCATCCCACGGGGGTGCCGTGAAACATTTTGGCAAGGCAGCTGCTGCGGCTGAAGTGACATCTCGAGGCTCTGCTCGCAGTCAGGTCTGGGGAACTTGGGTGAGCGCGTCGGCAGGATTGTCTTGTGACAGCACCAGCTGGACGGTCACCGAGAGCTGAAACTCGCCGACCAACTGTCGCACGAGGTCAATCCAGCGTCTGATCAGCGTCTTCCCCCGCGCCTTTGTTCTGAGACGAGAGCGTCCGCTCAAGGCGGCACTCAACCACCTGAACACTGGTCGAGTCCGTGCGTACCCTGAAGCGCTAACGCCCCATGCCAGGGCCATGTTCACACCACTCATCGCCACATCAAATTCAGCCATGTTGATGTGGTCCGCCGCCTTGGATTCTGGCCGGATCCACGCCGCATCGTCGATAACGCCGCCCTCCGTATCCTTCAGGACTACCCCGTTCGCGATGGCGCTCGCGTCAGCCCACACCACGAGCTCCCGGCCGACCATTCGCCACGGCCCCCGAGCAGGGTCAGCTGCCCTCACCAGCGTTGCAACTTCCTGGATATGCGCTCGTAGCGCATCATCCGACACTGGATCGTCCCAACAGATCGTCAGGCCGTTCACTCGCCTCTTTAGCCAGGCAGCTGCTGGCCGCAACCATCCCGCGACGGGGAGGTGCCTCACCAACTGCCCGCACCACGCAAACGCTGCACGTCGGGTGAGCTCGGTCGGCGGTGAAGGCACAACATTGTCTCGACACCACCGCAGCTCATCATCCCGTGCCCCGACTCGAAGGCCGAGCATTCGCGTTCCGTCCGCGACGCGCTCCGGCGGCTTGCAGGCCAGCCCGTACCTCGCAAAGTGCTCCACCACCTTGTCGGCGCTGACCACGTCTTCGTCGACGAGCAGGCCGTCCATGTAGGCGAGCACTCCCCGACTGATCACCTCGTTCTCACGCAGCACCGCCTGAACAACGGCCTTCATAATCAACGGCGCCACATTGAGGCCGAATCCGAGCCGCGTGAGGCTGAAGGTGTGGCCCTTGACCTGCACTGCCTGATACGACCACAGCTGGCGCTCCATACGCAGCTGCAAGTACGCTTTTCGCAGGTCAACCACGGCCAACTGGGCACCATGCTGGCGCCAGCGGCGCAACTGCTCGGCGCATACGTCGACATCCGCGGTGTGCGCGGTTACATGCCGGTTGAGTTCGCGGTAGTCCAACACCGGCCTGACCTTCCCTTGTGCGGCTGCTGAACTGCCATCAAGGAAATCAGGCCCTGAGCGGGCCCGTCCTCTTGCTCGTCATAGGGCCGGAGCCATCCGTTCGCCACCCACTCAGCCAACTCGCGCTCGCAGGCCTCTCGTGCTTCAGCCGGCACAGCGTACCCACTCACGGTGTTTCGCAGACGTTCAGGACCACGTCCGTGCGCCGACTTCCACACCACACTCCAGTGAGCGCCGTTGAACCGAGCCGTGAAATCCGCCGCTTCCAACGCCAGTGAGCTTCGCGTGCCGCTGCCCGGCGCCGCCGCACCGCATGCCGGCTGGTCACTTGCCGACTCCGGCGCCTGCTGCGTTGCCGCACCCAGCTGCACGTCAGTCGGGGACCGAACACTGATGCCTCCTAACGCGGTGATGCCGGACATGCCAATCAGCACGTCCAGCCCCAATGGATGATCCGGGACCATCAGCGCCGCGAGCATTACTCGCTGGCCTCTGTAGTCGAACGTCACCTGGGCGGTGCCCACGCACCGGAACACTCCATCGTTCACCGCTCGCATCTTGACCGCGCACGGGCGCCACGTGCGGCTGCAGCTCCTGAACCAGGGTGTCCGTACATCCTGTGTCAAGTAGGGCACGCCGGGGGGAAAGGGCTGGTCCACCAGCAGTGTCACGACCGGCAGAGCGTGCGCTACTGCTCGGGAGACTGCGCTGGCGCTAACGCAGCCCCCTGCCCGTTTGGGCACGCCACTGTCGGGTGACCCGCCTGTCCATAGGTCCAGCACTTCTGGTCGGGTCGCCTTGCCGGTCGCGCCTGTCGGGTTCCTCGTTTTTCGTGCGCTCCAGCCGCTGCCGCTGCCGCACCGGCACGTTCGTCGCTCAGCGCTGCCCGGGCTCGCAACGGGGTGCTCGCCAGACTCAAAGCCTCCGCCCGGGAGCCAGCGCGGACAGTCCTCCGCACCTCGTCGGGCAGCCCGGCGGCAAACGCGCACGTGAGCACGTTTTCCGGAAGCCCACCGCACAGAGCTGCGAGATGCCGTAGGTCCACCAGGAACACGTCAGACGACTCAGCAGGCAGCAGCCGTCGGCTGGTGTATGCGTCGTGCGCGGCAAACCGATACATCGCAAAGGTGTCATAGAGAGCGTCACGCACGGCGTCACTCGATGCGCGTGCCTCCTCCGGCGTCTGCAGCCAGCCAGTAGTAGTCGACACCACTGGCGCTGGGACACCCGCAGCAGCCGTTGTCACAGCGTCGCCAGTAGCCGCGGCGGTTTCGGGCATGATGGCCGAAAAAAGCCTGAAAGAGGACGTGGCGTGTACCCGCCCGGACTCGTCCAAAAACCGACTGGCACCTGCAAGCGTCAGGTACCTGCCGCCGCCTCAGCGGCCAACCCTTGACCCCCGGCGAATCGAGAGACCCGCGGTCACGTGACGCCCCCCCGCACCCAATCAGATGTAGAGCTCGGAAGGCAGCGGGGGCGAGGGCGCGCACCCCGCGCAATCACACCACACTCCGAAAACACGTGAGTTGAAAAAAACCCAGTAAGAACTTCAAGACAAATCTAGCCGATGCGAAAATATGTCACACAGTATTATTGGTGATACTATGAAATTCAATAATTTTAAGGGAACGTTTCTCATTTGAAGATATTGCGGCAGGCTGCATATATGATGAAACAAGCTGACTTATAGCTACTGGCATTATTTGTAGGTGGAAAAGACTGTTCGAAACTGCACCCTTCTCCGTCAAGTAAATATTCTCCTAAATGCGTCATGGTTTGATTGCGTCATTGCACCTTGCACAACATTGATTGAGAACCCATTGACACATCTGGAAATTGCGCCCACGAACGCCAGATATGAACGTCTCGACAATATCATTTTCTTCCCTTGATAACCGCATGGCTTATAAAATGTGCAGGACTTCAATGACGTCATTATGACGTCACGAATTCCAAGGTGACTGAAACACTCTCCCCGATATACCTTTCCCAATTTTCGCAGGCGTGTAGCTTAAAAACTGGAGTGGATTAGCTCTTAAGAATGGCAAGAGTGTGGACAGCACCGAAAGGTCTTCAAGATGCTTGTTTCAGCCCAGGAACCCCACATCAATGTGGGACGCATTCTTTGAGGGCTACTACAGGATATTGATTTAAAAAAAATATGGAAGAACTGGCCACATGGCAAACGGATAGCTAACACCTGAGTGACTATGAATTTCGAATGGGCAGCGGCAGAGCGTAGTGCAGGCCACGGGATGTTAGATAATGTTTACCTTACCCGTGAACGAATACGCCATTGACATCTTAGGCATGTCGGCCGGGGCTATACGCAGCTTACGCAGCATACGCCATGTTCGAGGTCGTAAGCCTGAACAAGGAAGTCTTTGTTTCACGGAGTGACTGAGACGAAGGTTTGGCATCACCAAGGCAAGGTTTTATCTTCTTGGAATAGCTGGGGTGCGAACCAGTGTTTTCTGGTTGCACGCCAATGCTCTACTGAGCTAATCGGGAAGGGCCCGTCTATTATAGCTCTTCTTAGTTAGCTTAATTAGGACAGCACTAGACTCACGATCAAAGGACAACGTGGTGTACATACTAATACACCAGACAAGAACCATGGTCCGAACAATGACTCCATTCATGATACGCAGGTTTCTGTTTGCAAATTACGTTTACCTCTGTGTTCCAGAAACAGTGAGGAGGAAGGCATGTCGCGATCTTGCATTGCTTCTTTCATCATAGTGCAGACATCATGAATGATTCGGTACTGATTGACAAAAGGAATCTGTATTTCAAACACACACTCGCACAGTTTCATAACACCAACACGAGACAGACATGATCATGAAATAAATAGCGTAAGAACGGACAATGCATATTCCATACCCCAATGCATACGCATCGCGTTAATTATCAGTCCTCATGGAATGGCGCGTGACATCAGAGGACGGCTTAAGCAGTCATAAAAGCGGCCCTAGTTGTAGCGAGGCCTGTAACCGACAATGACGCGCTCATACTGGGGCTCGTAAGCAGTACGGACCTCCTCCTCCTCCTCCTCCTCCTCCTCTTCCTCTACAGCAGGAGCCTCGTAGGTCTCCTCGTCATCGTCGTCATCGGACACCTCGGGGGTCGGGTACTCGGTGGGCACGGGGGTGGGCAAGTGGTCGCCCTGCGGCTGGAAGCCGCCCTCGCCGGCCGAGTACAGCACGGTGTAGGTGACGCCGTCGGGGGCCACGTAGCTGAACTGGCCGCTCATGCTGTAGCTGTCATCATCCTCCGTCTGGCCAGACTCCGACACCGAGATGCCGTTTTCGGTCTCGAAACTGAAATAGTTTTGGCGGTGCTCTTAGCCTAGATGCATGACGTTTGAATCTGACAATGGCTCTGAGAGCTCGCCTCGCGTTTAAAATCTGACACGCAAATACCAGTGAGCCGCAAACGCATCCGCTCTTGCGAGGAAATGTAACATGTGTCGTCATATGTGTTCGCTTACGTATGCCACTGTGCCGCTTTGGATAATTATATTTCACAAACATGAGTGCAATTTTATTGGGACTCTTCGTGAGGTTGTTGAATATTAGGTGAAAGGTATGTCAAAATGTATGACGTTATGTGCCACTGCCCATCCATCTACTACCTGCCGGCTGCCACTTAATGTAAATATTTGAACAATGCTTGCCAGCCCTTGTACATTGTGAATCCAAAGGGAACCTACACCTTGTGCACTTACGACTGCTGATAGGAGTGATCGTCGTGGTGGTCGATGTTCTGTCTGAGGATCTCGATGATGTCACGCTCGTAGGAGAGGTCAGACGGAGCAGCGACAGCCACGGCCAGGACGGCGGCGAAAATGAACTGAAAAAACAGGCAAATAATGCTGGCAAGCGTTCAAGCAATTCAAGACTCTACGCATACCTGAATATAGCATTGTATACTTAAATCACGCCAAGGTGGTGAATGCCGCAGCCTGCAGTTAGTCAGTGACTGGAAAATGTGCCCGCTGCTTGTTTGGTAATGTTTTTTTTCCAAAAAGGAGACGTCTAAAGAGATTGCCACACCTAATCAGTTTCCCATTTTCGTCTCACTAGGATGTTCAGAAAATTCTGACAACGAAGAACAAATCGTAACAAACCTTGGGCAGCAGAAATATTACATTTGTGTGTTGACAAGGCCGCTATGAGGGCCACAACACTACTGACTGAATGTACCGTAGCCGGGTACTCCACTTTGCATGGGCCATGCACAGCACATGGCTTTACAAAATTGCTTTAACGTTCAAAGCAGCCTGTTGGCAGAAAGGAACATTTAAACTACGTTATGCGAATCTGCCAATGCTTTCTACGCATTAAACCCAAATGCGGGTTTTTCGGTAGCTCCAGTGCTAAATCTTTCTTGGTTGTACTCAACATGACAGCATAAGTGAACTAAAAAATGTTTTAAGACTCAGCTGCGCGTTACTCTAAGATTTCCACGGGTTAAGAAGCGGCACGCTTCTAGGCACGTATTTGTGCCACCTTGCTTAATATGTAAGCACTCTGTAATGAGAAAATCACCAGACAGCTCCAATGGTACTGCATTTGGTTGGAAACACCGCGGCCGCCCACTCACCAGCTTCATGTTGTCCTGTGGTCTGTTAGCGTCCAGACATCAGCGAGCAATGATCTGATGCCTTGTCGGTCGGGAGCGGAGCGTTTTATACCAGCCCGTGGTGTGAGGACCAGGGGACAGGAGCACCGGTGAGGTCAGGGGTGACCGGGGACATCGCGAGAGCGTGGTGCCAGCTCAGGCCGACAGCCGAACCCAGTTTACCCACTGGAGCGGGCCTGCTGGTTCGAGGCGTGTCGTAATCCCACCTCTCTGGGAGTGCGCAATTTCGGAGTATGTCTTGGTAATTGGGTTATACTGGTCTGAGGCTTGGAAGGCGTGGATAAAAAACATGGGGCGTGGGCGCTATCTTTTATTGGTCAACGTCGGCGATTGGTATCATGTACAACGGGACTGGTTCGAGCATAGTGAACGTAGTATACGCTATGAGCGCTTAGGAAACAAACCTAACCTTACATTTCGGTAATTCACCTCCAAATATACAGATGTGTAAAATGGTCTTTTACACCAAAAACCGTGTCACGGCATTCGTGCTACGGCAAAAATCTCCTACGGACAGGAGTGCTACGACATCAGTCATGCGCCACAGAACTTCTACCGGAAAACCGTATACATACTTTACTTCTACGCGACATTACTTCTGCTGCAACGACTCAAACATGACATATGTGATACACGACCAAATTCATGCTTCCAATTTATACACGACGTTATGTCTACTGCAAAAACTTTTAGCCTCTATTTATGCGCGACATTACTTCTGCTGCAAAGACTCGTACACGACATGAGTGTCACACAACATGGCTTATGCTACAAAAACTTATACTTGTCATTACTTATGCAGCAAAGACCTATATGGCCTTCATTTTTACGCGATATTGCTTCTTCTGCAAAAAAATCCATACACGGCATGAATACCACACGATAAAATTATGCTGTAAGAACATATACCAGTCACTACTTCGACGGCAAAGACTTGACCACAAGTCTTCGCTGTAGCACTAAAGTCGCGCAAAAATCTTTGCAGCAGAAGTAAAGTGGTGTATAAGCAATGGCTGTAAAGTTGTTGTAGCAGAGGCAATGACGGATATGAGTTTTTGCAATAAAAGTAAAGTTTTGTGTAAGTAATGGTTGTATATGTCTTGCAATGGGAGCAACGACTAGCGTAAATTTTATAATCATAAGTTTTGCCGTGTAGCACTTATGTGCATAAGTTTTTGCAGTAGAAGAAATGCTGTGTTCAGGTAATGAGCGTTGAGCGTTTGCAGCAGAAGTAATGACGAGCCTAAGTTATTGTAGCATCAGTTTTGTCGCGTAGCGCTTATGTCGCGTATAAGTATTGGGAGTAGAACTTATTTAGTAGCATGTCTATCGCTGTGAGTTTTTCACAGCGATCTTGTCGGTAGTTTTTGTTGCAGCACTCAAGTCGCGGAACCTCCAAATACACAGCTCGTTGCATTGCACGAGTATTGTCAACTACAAGGCTGTCAGGTGCCGATAGCAGCCTGATAGTACTCTATGCTTCCGCACACTCCAACATTATACCGGATGTCAGTTGGGCATACTTTACGCCACTGGTTTGCGGATGCTGGCGAATGTCACACGCATTGCAGGTAAAAACCGACGGCATCAAACCAGGCAAACTAAATTTGTCCTGATGTAGATCGAAGGCCCCTGGATCTGGGCCAAACGAAATCAGGGCACGGCGTTGTTGTCACGACGTTGCGTCACTGCATTTCCAGCTTTCTTACCGCTGATACACACCACATCGAAACAAACACGTGTGGAGATCAAGTTGATATCGTGGAAATTTTGTGCCAAAAGTCCAGAGGGATCTGAGGTTGTGCGGGCAGGGGACAAATTTGACGCCCTCATCCCCTTCCAACGGGCGTCATGTACGGAGCTCCTCGAGTGCGAACGTGTTCAATCCCAGCCCGATCAAGTGTTGGATGGCCAATGGGGCCAGACACTGCCGGATTCAACCTGCAGCCATGTATTGAAGCTTTCCGTTGGAAGACTTAATTGCTTGGCGCAGTGATTAGGTTACTGATGGATCAGATGTCCGATGTGTATTGCGTACATATTAGTATTTAAGTTAGAGGGTTTGGCATCATCCCAACTTTGTCATATCGGTTGTCATAGATTTGTTCACCGTGTCTATTATGGAAAATTCCATAACTTTGCCCATGTCTCATCAAACACCAAAAAATCGCCACATACGCAGAATGGCACCAATACGTCCCTCTAGTCCTTTGGACGAGTTACAGATGCACGATTGGCAGAAGCGCTGAGCACAGTTGTCCAGAACTGATGAAATCAGTTTAGAAAAGGAAGTTTTACGGTATTAAGGTCTCGCAATTTGGATGCAAATATTTCAATATATGATTTAAGCGAGACAAACATTCGGCTTCTAGTTTTTTATGGGGGGGGGGGGGACTGGGAACTTTTATTGCCAAAAATCTTAGCTGGCTTATCCACCCTCGATAAACCCGGATGTGCTGGTTAAATGGCGTCATAGAGTAAACTTCTCTTACGCCAATGCTCCAAGTTTCAGGCTGTGCTTATGATCACCAGTGAACAACATCCACATTACATCAGCACTAACGACAGTTACAATCTCGCCCGTCTAACACCACACAGAGCATCTTGGCATGTGGTTGATTTTTCCTCGTTGGTTTCGTGACGACATTCCCAGCTTCAGAGAGGTTCCAGGATTCAGATAAACAACAAAGTATCTGCTTCTACGTCGCAACAGTTTGTTCAATACTGAGCAACCCAAATACTACAGACCCAACAAAAGGAGCTATTTGCAAGGGTTGCAGGAAGAAGGGCCTCACAAGCGGTGGGGCAGGGGTATACCTGACATTTCTATTCGGATAAGTGTGCGCCACCTGAGGTGGCGAGTGTGGAAATCCTGCGGCATGTGACGTAGAAGAATGCAAGGCATGTCTCTGGATGACAGACGCCTTGAGTATAACCTGCATTTAGAGTGTAGGGCGTTTAGGGTATCATGGCGCGGAAAATAACCAAGGCATATGATTTTTTAATAACGCAACACGTATGATACTGTTGTCAACAGAGAAGGGCACCATAGTTGTTTTAGGGCCCCATTATTTTTGCCTTTTTGCTATTTGACACGGTAGGCTGTTGTCGAAACCCAGCCAGACGGAGGATGATGACAGCTACAGCATGAGCGGCCAGTTCAGCTGCGTGGCCCCCGACGGCGTCACCTACACCGTGGTGTACTCGGCCGGCGAGGGCGGCTTCCAGCCGCAGGGCGACCACCTGCCCACCCCCGTGCCCAGCGAGCACCCGACCCCCGAGGTGTCCGATGACGACCACACGGAGAGGACAGACGAGAAGCCTGCTGAGAGGTAAGAGAAGAAAAAAGTTCGTGCCTCTTACGCGGGACCTCATGGTCCCTTCGCCACCTTCTCTCATGCCTTGCTGCAATAAGCACAGCGTTTCTTTCGGGCTCTGCTGCTACTGAAGGACTTAATGGTCATGTAGCGATTGCTGCATTATGCTTCATCATCTCCTGAAGTGAAAGACGTGCGTGATCCGGCGTGTTCTGCACGAAAGTCATGGCTTTGCCGTCGCAACTGTGGCAAAAAAATTCATACGATACATCGCTCTGCGGGACACGCTGGCCATGCCATTTTAAACCTCTAATTGCAACCGACATCGACCATACAAGGCCATGAAATACGAGGGCAGACATAATAATAACGTCTAACAAGAAGCCGCCCGACCAGCCAGAATATCAGCTGCCAAAACTCCTCAGACCTGCGCTAAAATCCACCTTCACTGACCGAAAACACTACCTTCATTCCAGCCGTTCGTGGAAGCCTTCGCTGCGGATGTTCACCGGGCCTGCCAACAAAGGGTTGATGCCGGCCCCCCCCCCCCCCTGGTCACTGCCCGATGCCACACCGTCGCTGTCTTCTGCGTGAAGTGACGCTGTTTGCGCAACGTTATCGCAAACTCTCGCCGACGACTCAGAACTTTCCATACTGAGCACCGCCGTGCCACTGCACTATTACAAAAACAGCACGCTCGTGAATACGGAGACCATCAAAACGAAATTAGACGAGAACACGCGAAAAACGAAATCAGAGGAGGACCTGTGAAGGTCGGAATCAGACGAGGACTTGTGAAAATAGGATTAGGACTGTCGACAGCATCGACAGCAGAAAGACTTACGTTCCACCCCGCCTACCACTGAAGAACGCCATGCTCGGCCGAGGCTCGATTGCAGTGACCGAGGCTCATTAGGCGAGCCAGGCAAGGTTGTCCCGGGGTGTCAGATGTGACAATTAGTCGTTGAAGGCAATGGAACCATTACATGGAAGTTTGAACTGAAATAGCCATCTTGTGGACCTTTTGATGCAGTTCACGGCCATGCCCTTTTAAGATCCAAAGCCCTCTGGTTCCTGAATTACACGCCGGCAAAAGTGGCAAAACGTTTCCTGAGGGACTTTTCAAAACCACCTCCGCAATGACGATGTCATAGAAACGTCATATGAGCGCCGTGATATTACAGGCTGTTTTCTGCTCATGGTCAAAAACGGTATGGCCTCTGATGCATTCGCAAAAGCGACGATGTGGCACATATCATACAATCCGCGGAAGGTGATTGGCTGTTTGTAAGATTTCGCTGCTGAAGGCGTGTCGCCAACGTAAGCGTGAGCACTTTTGGGTTGTGCGGCACTCCTCGGCACTCCTCGTGATAGTTTTGCCTTATATTTAGGCCATGGGCCAAAGTTATAAAAAAGGACGCCACTGTCTGCAAAGGAAATACGACACCGGAAAAGGGAATGACGCGCTCCCGAAAGTTTTAAAAAGAAGACCCAACGGCAACCCTGTCAGTTCTCATGCTGGTGTTTTTTCTTCTACTCACGCATTTCTTACCCACATCTCGGTTGGCGCCGTGTGCACCGCAGCAAAGAATCTTGCACGGGTTTATGGGTTAGCTATGCATGATAGCATTAGGGAAGAATTACAGTAATTTTATGTATTTATTTCGCTGATCATTTAACACACATTGCACGACAAATTTAAATCTTGAACAAAAAATTGTGTCCTTCAAGCACAGCCCCTGGAGCCGCATTACCATGAACCCCGTTGGGTTTTTGTTTGAAAGGGAGCCCGCGGTGAAATGCGGTGTTATGACCGGAAACCTGCGCGGAAATTGTGAGAAAACTTGCAATTTGATGGTCCCGCGAGCTGTGCAAGTGTGGTATCACACTTATTTTACAAAAGAGTGTGAATCAGGGGCTTGAAATGGGTGTGATTGCTGGTGGTGCGGGCCAGTGGCTTCTTTTGATCTTGATGTGATTGGGAGTGTGCGCGCGAAGTTTGTACTCCTAAGGGAGAGCATTGTTTTGGGATTCTTTAAGTCTTCTGACTCCCAATAAAGTATGAGATATCGATATCTCCAGCTATCTTTATGTGCGTGTTTGAACAGGACAAGGTGGTGATGTTCGTAAACCGAAAAATTAGTAAAACTAGTAAAAAAAACTAGTAAACTAGTTTTAAAACTAGTAGACTACCAAACTAGTACACACTAACACCTGTGTTGCAGGGGTGTGCAAAAGTAGTTTGCTACTTCATTATAATCTTGCCAACATTTTGAACGCATTACAGCATGTAATTAATCCATTGCATGCCATTATATTAGCAATTTATTTTGGCAGTAAGGGCTGGTCTGCACAGCTCATTAATGCACATGCCCCGCATAGGCTCACCAGATACAGCTTTGCAGAGTTGTCTTTCCCTTAAGAATTCTGAATTTTGCATGCAGGCAAGCAATGCTTGTGAGTCATCAATGTCAGAGTCACTGAAGCTTGTGAGATGCTGGGTGCTGAGAATGG